ATAATAATAATAATAATTATTATTATTATTATAATTATATCACAATTATTATAGCCGCAGTTATTCGTTGAAATAACTGCATGGACTCACGCTGATCTAAACCGCACTGCAACCAGCGTTGGAGAGTTTAGTATCCTGGCGAAATAATGTTCGCTTCATCACGGCGGCGGCGGCGGCGGCGGCTATCAGAACGGCTTCAGGGGGTCCGTGAACCAGGCGCATGCAAACTAGTGTGTTTATGAGCTTCTGCGCATTTTCGAGGAGGGGTCCGTAGCTTTCACCAGATTCTCAGTGGGTATAGAATAGGACAAGTTTCCAGAACGACTGGTGTTTAGTATCGTGGCGTTGTTCGTAATTGCCATCATAATAACTCGCTCGTTACCTGACATCGTGCCGCCTGGCGTGTAGGTCGTCGCCGACGGCTCAAGTTCGTACGGCGACAGACTCGTCTGGCTCGCTGCTCCGTGACTCGGCTTCATAGAGTCGCAGCGTCCGACTGGAGCTCCGCCACTGTACGCCGACGTCTCAGCGACGAGCGCCGTCATGGCAACGAAGACGCAAAGCACGGCCGTCGTCATGTCTCCGCTAAATCGAAGCGGCGAGGGCATCCTCTCATCTGTGCATTAGCGAGCGAGCTTCAGCTCAGCTTTAACGTTATTATGTTAATAAAACTTAATTTAATTATAATATGTTTTTTAAATGTTATGTTATTGATGATATTGCGTTATTGTGTCAAAAACCCAGCGGAAAAATACGTACGACGAGGAAATTTGATTCCACGTGAAAAAATATCGCAGCAACTTATGCACTTGACAGAAATCAGTTGTCGAGAGTGTCCGCTCATCTGTGTATTAGTGAGCGAGCTTCACCTCAATAAGATGTAGCGTTACCCTTGATATAGAACTGATTGATTGATTGATTGATTGATTGATTGATTGATTGATTGATTGATTGATTAATTGAGTGAGTGATATTCTAGATGTAATATTGGGAGTAAGGTGTAGCGTGTGTCGAAAACACAGCGGAACTAAGTGAAGAAATATCGCAGCAATGTATACCCCCGTTACAAATCGTTTTGACAGTTTCCACGCTTTAAATAGCACGTTTAAATAGCAGAGCGTTAAGAAGTCGCGCGTCATAGAAACGGAAAAAGCTAAGAAACACACAGCGGAAACATACCCATATACGGTGAAGGTAACCACGTACGTGAAGAAATATCAAAAAGCAACCTATCCCCGTTACAAATCGGTTTACTTACTCATGAAATGTGTGTTTCTCTTGACAATCGCCACGCTTAAACAGCTGGAGCGCTATGAATTCTCGCGTCACAGAGCGGCGGGGTAAGGTAACAACGTACACAGTCAACGCGAAGAGCTAATAACGATTACGTGCGCACAACGTACACGAAGCGCTCATCATCTTTATCGCAGCATCCTCTTTACGTTTCACCTTCCCTTTCTGATTGAAGGACAGAGACATCATCCGTCCACGTTACTGCCACCGGAGCGCATCGTCGGTTACTGTTTTGTTATCACGCGTAACAACGGATTAAATATGCGCGCGACGCAGTATGTATGATATATATATTGATTTACACGTGTACCGCTAGGCGACACGACACAGGTGCAGACGCATGTCGCGCATGCGCACTCCTGCTGTGACGCCTCGTGTTTGTTGTTGTTGCCTCTCGTTGTCGCTGGCACGGATAGGTACGCCGCTAGCAACTGTGGGAGTTATGGGCGGTGTCGCGGATGCTGGGTGCTGCGTGCATCATTTTTTGTTAATGACGGCACCTGGTGAATGACTCCGTGCGGCTGCTCCATCAATCGTTCGAAATTACGTGTCCGCCTTACGAAATTATTAATATTCACTAATATATAGCAGGTGCACATATGGTATTCATTGATCCGCAAGAAAGTGAAGCGAAGTAAGTAAGTAAGTGAGTAAGTAAGTAAGTAAGTAGCAAGTGAGTAGGGCTAAAGCACGCAATCAAGTCACTTGTTGTGCGCATAAACTATTATGTACTATACAATATGCACAGATAGATAGAGTTGTTGCTATTACAGTATAAATATTGAAGTGTATTGATTATTAATTTCGATCGCTGAATTTCTGGTTGCTACGGGCAATCCCAATGGGAAAGACCATGTGTAACGATTAGAAAATTTAAACGCATGTTGTTGGTCGAACTTGCAAAAGGAACAACGTTTCTTGCTTATTTTATTTACTACATTTTTCAGTCAATATAATATATTATATCGTACTTTAAAAAACTGTCAGGTAGCGTTTAACCAGCAGCATGTCAACAATAGCGTGATAATTTTCAGAACGAAAATGCTACGTTTGGAATAGTTTGTAGTCACGGTTACCAGTAACCGATGCAGAATGTTTCGGCAGATTCTACGGATGCAGTTCGCTTTAGCGCTAACATATAGTTTGAGCAAAATCGAGTTCGGAACAAATCGATAAAACGAATCATAAAAATCTCAAATAACGTACAACTACTAACTACTAACGTACAACTACAATCGTTTTCATATAAGCTTATACGGATACAAATCTGTAGCTCTAGGCATTACACAATATTGCTACTATGTGAATAATTCTAAAGCAAACGTGTCTCAATAGGTCTAAATGGGGATATGTTGATCCATAATACATATCCCACGTGCACGAGAGAAAAAATAACCCGGGTTATTTGACTACGCAAAATAAAGTAACCAGGGTTATTTGTCTACGCTAAAGAAAATAACCCCGGTTATGCGTCTACACAAAAGAAAATAACCCGGGTTATGCGTCTACACAGAGCAAAACGCCACATTTTTCGAAACATCGCGTAAACGCCGCGTTTTTCGAAACAGTGAAAACGCCGCGTTTTTCGAAACAGTGCAAAACGCCGCGTTTTTCGAAACAGTGCAAAACGCCGCGTTTTTCGAAACAGTACAAAATGCCGCGTTTTTCGAAAAGATTGCGATTGCGTATAAATAGTTCTAAAGACCTTATACCACATCTCGATGAGATGTTTAGAGGCGTCTATACATACATAACTTCTTCGCGACATAGTTAAAATAGTTTTGAACATGTTATATTGTTTGCTATACTAATAGGCTAATAGCCATAAACGATCCACTTATTCAGCTAAACGTATTCAGTGACAAACTGGCGGTCTCGCGGACTATGCTATAGTGCCGCGGTTTTGCAAGACGTGCGCAGTATCTAGTAGTATCAGGGGTTAATATGGACAAATCATTATTAACCCCTGGTAATATGGATCGCATTTTTTAACAATATTTCACGTATAGTTTGCTCACATAAATATTAAGGGCAACCAACATTGATTGACAGCTTACAGGTTTCGTTAAAAAATTTACGACAGTGGTTCTAAATCAATAATATAATTACGACAGGGTTCTGGAGCAATAATTCATGCCGACACTGCTAAATCTAGCATGCAGTAATATCACGATGCAAATTTAATTTTATTGCGTAATATCGCGTCCTCGAATGAGTTGTATGAAAACTTTTGATAGCAAGGGCAAAAAAAGTTACTGGGAGTAATTATTTTAGCCCGTGTCCGGGATTAAAATTGCCCGAGTTGAATTTTCATACGACAAAAACAAACCACTGCGCACTGCGTTCCAACGAGAGACGTATTTGGTTCGGATATGTTCCCAAAATATATCCGGTATATATATACATATATATATATATATACTATGTGTGTGTGTGTGTGTGGTGTGTGTGTGATCCTGTGTTGTGTGTGGGTGCTCGTCACTGGGTGTGTGATAATGTGATTGTGGACTGTGTGTTGTGGTCGTGTGTGTGGTGTGTGTGTGTTGTGTGTGTGTGTGTGTGGCTGTGTGTGTGTGTGTGTGTGATGGTGCTTGTTGTGTGTGGTCGTGCATGTGTGTGTGCGCGCGTTGCTTGTGCGGGCGCGTACGTGTGTTTGTCGCCCGCGTGTGACGCCGTGCGTGCGTCGCGCTGTGCCCAAGGGTGCGCGCGCGTGCCTGCGTGGTATGCGTGCTGTGGTGTGTGTGTGTGTGCGCGCGCGTGTGTGTCACTGACTATTCGCTCCGCATATAATTTAACCCCGGTTGAGCTTTCTCCTATGAACGCGATATCTCGCGTGGGGCTTCTGAAGGTCTGTGCACGTCACTGGGCGATATTACGCCTCATGTAGACGCGGGTTACCCACGGCCATCTACTAGCATCACGAGGGCTGTTACAATCATTACCGTGTGAACATTGACATGAGCCGATGCCGAACTATTATTGGCTACAATCGCGTCGGTGTTTCTTTCCACTGTGATACTGGTCATGTTTCGTTTATTATCCGACACGCGAGGGATCTCATCATGCTGCAGCAGAGCGCCATCTGTGAGGGGAAAATGTAATTTGAGTTGATTGCAGAACTAACGAATATTTTAGGTGTGCTTTGGCAAGCGTTGTGTGAAAACGTACGCATTGTGTGAAACGTGGGCATTAATTAAACATTTAATTAAAAATAATTGAAAATTGCACTATTAGGATCGTATTCGTCCATTAATCTTTAGAAAGAAGTTCCATCTAGACTATTAGTAGGCAAACTTACTCGATACACGTCCAGTCGCAATGAAATGATATAAAGGTGAAGCCAGATCGAAGTGATCACTGTCTCCTCCGTTGGATAGAGGGCGCCTAAATCGGCAGGTGACTCGGCCATTGACATATTCAGCCTAATCAATAATCAATATCGCTCATATAGCACAATCAATCAATAACGTTAATGTTAGTCGAAAAATAGTCTATATATTCAGCCGATAAATACTAATAACGTTGATGTTAGTATAAATGGTGCACGATTAAAAAACCACCAACTACGAAAATAATCCGTTTTTGGAAACCTCTGAAACCTGTTCGTGTATGTAAACAATATTTATAATAATTATTGCACTAGTATGCGTATTGCGCTATGTTACACTGCAACATGGTTGCCACGAAACCATAATATGCTTCGTGATTCAAGACTGAAGTACTGATTGAAGTACTAATTAAGTCCTGTATTGTTTGAAGCAAACGGCATATAGATCACCTGTATGTCCGTAACCAGCCTGTTCGTCTGCCGTACGGGCGGGGTTCGTCCGCCAGGATTCCTGAACTCGTTCAGGACAACGAACGAATCGTTCTTTATCATGCATGCGATCACATCATCGTTTCCCTGTATAAAGTATACATGTGAGCGTATATATATATATATATATATATAATGTAGAATAGAACAAGGTGTTAAATTTCAATCAGCAAGCTTTCGCGAGTATCTCTCTTTATCAGTATACAATGACACAGAATTGTCATTGTTCATTAACCTGTGAAGAAAATCTCTCGAAAACTTGCCTCATTTAAAAAAATTAACACCTTATTCTATTTTATTTTTCATACCTACATAAGTGTCCGTGTCTGCTTTTACTTCTTCATATGTATATATATATTATATTGAATCTTTTTACGCGGGTGACCATTGTTTATTTTCCGTCAATAGTAGGCTTTGATTAGCCAGCTTTCGGCACTATGACTGGTCCACGCAATAAAAAGCGCCCAATCCGCATCCGAAAATTAAGCCGCCCGCCACGTGTACGTCTCCATTCGATAAATAATGTGAAACATGTATCACTTTTGTATTACTATGATGATATAGGCGCCTAGCTTAGTGGTATGTGCACGCCAGTATGACTATATAGTGGGATCAAGTTAGCGATGGAATTCTGTCTATTATCATGCTCCAGGGGACATTTCTGGAATTCTCTATTTGAACGGGCATTGTGGTTCCTGTACACACCAGCGCCACATCGGGTAGTCGTCCTGATTTTGCCAGGTACATCCTGATATACTGATCATTAGTGCGGACTGTTACGTATAACATATTATATATATATATACTTATATATATATATATATATAAATATATATATATATCAGTGGCGCTTTATGAGACTCGAGACGAACTAACAAAGACAGGCAGCTAGTGCTATCCGCACTCCAAGGAAAACTCTATACATGGGCATCTAAAGCAAGGCATCATAATATAATCTAATATCATAATAAATATATAATATAATAATATAATATCATAAGCAAGGCGCGAGTAAGGGTCACGTAGGTGACTTTGGAGAGCGTGCGTAGCAAAATGCAAAGACGTAGAACCTGGGTGTAGCATGGTATACGTTCCCCCCTTATGGTATACGTTTTCCTTATGGTAAACGTCCCCCTCCCTCTGCATTGCGCATGGGCATGTGCATGTCCAGCAGGGCGGATTCGCATCTGCGCATGTGCATAAGGATTTGACCTTTATTGCTCATGCGCAATGTAGAGAGGAAAGTTCGCTATAGGGCGCATGTATACCATGCTACTCTGGTTAACTTTTTAAACGCTAGATAGCTCTTTTTGGTATGGTATAGTCTTGGGATGTGCGAGTTTTCTACGGTACGTTTTAGATGGATTATCTTTCAATTTGCAATTAAAGAGACAACACAACACCCAAGCCCAAATTGCAGTTGAAAAACATGTCGAACAAATTCACTGCTTCGCGAACTTCTGCCGCAGGTAGAAAAAATATTTAAATTTTACTATTTACCATATTCTTGTCACTTGAGAACCGATAGCGACGTATCCTGTGTCATGGCGGTCATCTCAATGGAAACATGAGTGCGCTGGGCTATATAGTTCACAGCCACATCACACGTGACGGGTGAACAGGCAACAGCTCCCTGAAACAATCGTACTCCAGTTACCATTAATACACACCTGCCCTCCTTTTACCCCCCCCAAGTGGCATATTGTTGAGCTAACGATAAACAACTCTCTCGTCCACCTCTCCCCCCCCTCTCTCTCTCTCTCTTCTCTCTCTCTTTCACTCTCTCTCTCTCTCTCTCTCTCCTCTTTTCACTCTCTCTCTCTCTTTCTCTCTATCTCTCTCTCTACTTCTCACTATCTCTCTCCTTCTCTGCTCTCTCTCTCTCTATCTCTCTTCTCTCTCTTTCTTTTCTCTCCGCTTCTCTCTCTTCTCTCTCTCTCTCTCGCTTCTATCTCTCTCTCTCTCTTCTCTCTCTCTCTCTCGCTTGCTCTCTCGCCCCTTTTTTCTCTCTCTCTCTGCTATCGTCTCTCTGCTCTCTCTCGCTGCCTCTCTCCCTCTCTCTTCTCTCCTCTCCTCTCTCATCCCCCTCTCTCTCTCTCTCTCTCTCTCCTCTCTCTTGAGGCTGCTGCTGTCGGTCATCTTATGTATAATATATATAATATAATATATATTAAATTCTATAGTATCCTACGATGACATCCACCTTCCCACCATATTTATTTTTAAAGATAAAAATACAACGATCCGGCGCTAAAACATCATACGAAGCCAGCGTAACGATGTAAGAGAGGAAGCAGGTTAGGCTAAAGCACGTACTACGCGGTTGCAGTAATCATACCCAGCACACTACAGCAGTATACAGTAGCGTGTAATACCCATGCTTATGCAAGGACTTCTTCCGTGCGCATTTTGGCAAAGCCTCAGCGCTGGTTGCAAGTTGTGCGGTGAGTGCATTGAGATTGTGCTTGAGTTGTATGCGTAGTGGATTGCTTGTCGATCAGTCGCGTTAAAGTCGTTAGCGTTAGTGGCAGCCAGTGCCGGACGTGCCATCGAATATTGGCCAATTCTAGAATAGCGATGTTTCTCCAGTACGTCGTGATAGGATTGGAACTACTGTTGCCCTGTATCGCCACAGCCAAAACGCAGCGTTAAGCGAGCCTTTAAAGTTATTTGTGTGCATTATTTATGGAGTGACAATTAGACTAAAACGCGCGCACTTACAGAAGTATCTTGACGCATCTTTTGAGCGAATCTGTTTTTTGGACCCGGGCCTTCATTTTCGCAAATGCAGGGTTAGAAACATGGAAGACCTACGCTTGGGGCACTATAAAGGTGCTCTTGGCTATATTCATATCTAAAAAAATTGATTCGGGAAAGTGGAATAAATTAAAATTAACTTAAGAATTCTTTAGATAAATGTTAATAAACTTATTTATTGCGTCTTCAGAATGTTTGTTACCCGATTCCCATTCGAAAGAGTGAATATACTTTCATACCGAAGGAAAAAATTAAATGTATAATATATATATATAAATATAGTATCGAAACAATATATAGTATATATATATATATATATATGTATATCTATAAATAAATAAATATATAATATAGTCTCGAACCTAAATCGTATAGATCCAACTGCGAAGTCCGGAGCTTTCCAGGCGAACATCACTTGCGACTTCGTGGCAGCGCTATCATGTGTGATAGCGCTGCCCAGTGGATCGTCACAATGCAGAAATTGCGCGCCATCTGATATGGCCGTGAAATTTCCGGGCACGCGAAAATTACCGATTCGGGCTTGTATCATGAATCCGCGAAACGTTCCGCCGGACAACGAGCCTAGAACACAACCCGGATTAAGATCTACTACAGATCTCTCCCCCGCCCCCTCTCTTTCCGCACTCCCCCTTCTCCCTCTCTCTCTCTCTCTCTTTCTCGCTCTCTCTCTCTCTCTCTCTCTCTCTCTCTCTTCTCTCCCTATATATATAATATTTTATAAGATATATATATATATATACATAAAGAAATTAATATATTTATATATAATATAAAACTGTATAGATCTGTAAATCAACTGAAATCTGACCAAACTTGAAGATTAGCATTTATTTTAAAATATAATTTTAACAGTATAATATAGATAAAGACAACTTCGCCCGATGAACAATTAGTGTAGGCTTATGCGGTTAGAAACTACTCTATGGTGCGTGAGAACCGCATCCAATACAATTATTTCGACATTTAGTTCCAATTTATGTGTTCCGAACGGTAGATGTCCGAAAATAAACAGGAAGAAATGTCAAGAAAAAAATCGGGAAAGAAACCAGCAACTGTATGGTGGACGAGGCCTGCCACTACAATTTTACCTCTGAAATAAATAAAAGCAAATAAAAAAAACAAAATCAAAATCAAAATCACAACTATACAACTGTAATCGATTGAATGAGTGGGTGCAAGGCTTCAGTTTTCGAACGTGATTAACTTGAAATGATTCTTCAAATCGACATTCGTATGCAAACGCATTCTGAGTAAATAAAAAAAAACAGTAGTCGTACCGCCCGCCACCAGAGGCTTCAGTTTTCGAACGTGATTAACTTAAAACGACTCCTTAAATCGGAATTCGTGTGCGCATGCGTTGTAAATATTTTTTTAATTCATTGTAAACCTGTAACGGTGCCACCCGGCGTGTAGGTGGCGCTCGCTATCTCGATGTTAAATGGCGGGGGCGTGCTGCTCTGAGGGGTGGTGCCGTGATTCGGCTGCATCGAATCACACTGCGTCACCGGTGCTCCGGTCCTGTATGCCGACGCAAAGGCCGCTAGCGTCGCCATGGCAACGATGACGTGAATTATGGAATTCATGATAGGCTTACACTGGAATGAAAATCGCAACAAGAATAAACTACATGATTGGAATATAACTGGTTAATAATAACAACTGAAATGATAATATACCACAGTAATTGGAATAAAGAAGGGAGGAAGCGCGAGCGTGAAAAGAGACTATGAAGAGACTTACACAGAGGGTTATAGGACATTATATCAAGAAATGGGTGTCTTACAGAAGAATTAATATGGACATAGGGATAGAAAGATAGACGAGGGAGGCAGAAGGAGAGAAATAGGCGAGTGAGAGAGAGAGAGAGAGAGAGAGAGAGAGAGAGTGTGTGAGAAATAGAAAGGAGAAGAGGAAGAGAGAACAAAAGTCAGAATGAGCAAGCGAAAGACCAGGATTTGCGGTCCTAAATATGTAGAACACTCATGCGAAGGCGTATTTATATGTTCAGTGCACTAACTAACTCTGCGCTTATAAAGTCTGTGTCAGCCAGTTACAGTAGCGAGACGTTTTATGAAAGTGAATTTCAAACGCTATTCGATCGCTACCGTGACGCAATAGAAGTTGGCAAGTACCATTGCGAAATAATGCATGTGTGCAACACTTCGCTACCACATCCGCTAGCTATTCTTGGCATTCACGCATATTGATTCATATTGGCGTGTGGTGTCCGTTACTAAGTTGCGTCTGATCCACTTATCTCTATTATACTAATTTATATAATAGAGATCAGTGGTCTGATCATATATTTAGTATTATTTAATATTATTTATTAGACGTGGCAGCTAGCGCATATTGCTATTTCCAGGGAGAATCACCAGCTTTGTAGATCAGCAACTAGTCAGTCGACTATGTGGGAGGCAGTGGGAGTACAATGACAATGACAAAATGACATCCACCTTCCCATCCATATTTATTTTTCAATATAAAAACACAACGATTCCGCGCTAAAACATATACGAAGCCAGCGTAACGATGTAAGAGAGTAAGCAGTAGGCCTAATAGCGAGTACTACGCGTGCAGTATATACCCAGCACATACAGCAGTATATAGTAGCGTGTAATACCCAGCTTATGCAAGACTTCTCCGTGCCGCATTTGGCAAAGCTCAGCGCTGGTTGCAGTTGTGGTGGTGCTTGAGTTGGTGCTTGAGTTGGTGCGGTAGTGGATGCTTCGATGGTCGCGTTAGCGTTCGTAGTGGCAGCAGTGCCGGACGGGCCCATCGAAATGGCCAACTCCCTAGATAGGATGTTCTCCCAGTACGTCGTGTAGGATTGAACTACTGTTGCCCTGTATCGCACAGCAAAAACGCAGCGTTAAAGCGAGCCTTTAAAATTATTTGTGTGATAGTTATGAGTGACAATTACGATAAAACGCGCACTACAAGAAAGTATCTGAACGCATCTTTTGAGCGAATCCTAGTTTTTGGACCCCGGGCTTCATTTTCGCAAATGCAGGGTAGAAACATGAAGACCTACGCTTGGGGCACTATAAAGGTGTCTTGGCTATTCATATCTAAAAAAATGCATTCGGGAAAGTGAATAATTAAATAACTTAAGAATATCTTTAGAATAAAGTTAATTAAACTATTATTGGTCTCAGGAATGTTTGTTACCCGATTCCCATTCGAAAGAGTGAATATACTATTCATACCGAGAAAAAAATTAAATTATAATATAATATATATAAATATAGTATCGAAACAATATATAGTATATATATATATATATATATATATATAATGTAGAATAGAACAAGGTGTTAAATTTTAATCAGCAAGCATTCGCGAGTATCTCTCTTTATCAGGCTATACAATGACAACAGAATTGTCATTGTATAACCTGATGAAGAAAGATACTCTCGAAAAATTGCTCATTAAAAATTAACACCTTATTCTATTTTTTTTTCATACCTACATAAGTGTCCGTGTGCTTTTACTTCTATATATATATATATATATTATATTGAATCTTTTTACCGGGGTGCATGTGCATTTTCCGTAAATATTAGGGCTTTGATGCAGTTTCGACTATGACTGGTCCCACGCAATAAAAATGACCTAATCCGCATCCCGAAAATAACCGCCCCGCCACGTGTACGTCTCCATTTCGATAAATAATGTGAAACATGTATCACTTTTGTATTATATGATGATATAGGCCTAGTTGTGGTAATGTGCACGCAGTATGACGTATATTAGTGGATCAGTTAGCGATGGATTCTGTCTATTATATGCTCAGGAGGACATTTCCAGGAATTCTCTATTTGAACCGGGCATTGCTGGTTCCTGTACACACGCGCAGCATCGGGTAGTCGTCCTGTTTGCCAGTACATCCTGTATACTGATCATGTGCGACTGTTACTATATATATATATATATATATATATATCAATATGCCAATTAGCTTCTAATAATAATTGCGCACTTCGATTACCAATGCTGTATCAATAGGTGTGTGATTCGGGATCAATGAATGTTGTATTATACCTGAACATTATTGCTCCTACGTATGAGCGTGGTGCTATCCAATCAAACCTCAGTTCGCTCTTAGTGTCCGCGTTCGAATGTGTGACAGCATTGTTTAGAGATGGACTGACGTCGTCACATTGCAGATATTTTGCTGGCATCGGCGTGGTCGAGGTGAACTCTCCCACGCGGGCTCCGTCTAGCGTTCGTGCTTGTATGATGAATCCAGTGAACGTCCCCGTTCCCGTTTTACTCGATAATTTTACTGAAAATAAGTTTCATCAAAAATATATATATGACGACGAAAAGCGTGCGATTCTCAGATCATTGAAAATATCTCATTTTAAAAGTTTCTATTTTCGAAAACGCACCACGATATACCAAGTTATTGAATGTCTATTTCAATCTCGGACTTTCTTTAATGACATACATTTAACCTTATTGCAAAGTGTTTAGAATTCAATAATAACAATGTAATAAAATAACGCTTTCCCCAATTAATGTCGACCTAACGAAATATTGTGCTAATTGTGCTAATGCCTCCTCAATTATTACAGTGTGTTATTATTATTATTTATAA